GCTGCCGAAGAGCTTTGTAGAGATCTGATTGCTAGCAAATCGTTTCAGCTGCCTCGAAAGCAAAATGAAAGCATGGCCTAATTTGCGGCACGCAAAAAAAGAAATAGACAAAAAACATCAAAACCTCATTATTTTCTGCAATTTTTCGTCCATACGTTTTTACCAAGTAATTTCAGAGTGCAGGAGAAATTGGGCGGCATGTTTCGAGACGGACTGCTGAAGGCGGCACAGACCACAGGAGCGTGGATAATCACGGGAGGTCTGGATTGCGGCGTCGTGAAACACGTGGCTCGAGCGCTCGACGATGCTGGTATATCAGCAAGGTCGGTCCCTTTGAGACCAGGACCTTTACTTAGGTTTCTGAAATTTTACATTTCAGAATGCGGTCGAAAATAGTGACGATCGGCATCGCTCCATGGGGAGTTATCAAGCGGAAGAGAGCGCCTGGTGAGTTTTTAAGTGGGTCGATGGGCTGTAAAGAGAGATGGTGGCAACCTACCGCAGTACACCATTTCGTATCTCGCGCTTTTCTAGATCGCTACGAGCTAAATTCTGAGTCCGGCGATGGGAAAACACCGGGAAAATGAATTTGGGTTCCCCACCCCAAAGTCATTTTCGTCCCTGACTTATGACGAACAGTGTTGTGACCGAAGTTTGAAGGAGAATGTCGCGATAAATGGGATGTGGGGGACATTCATGACACAGGAAATTCTGCATGAGGACGGCGATCTTTCAAGGAAGTGAGCAGTGGGATGTGTCAGTGCGAAAGGCGCTCATCGCCAGCTACCTCAACCCAAACCTGGCCGGCGCCACCTACCGTCGTCTGGCTTGCTTCCTACTGGAAGACTTGGGCTGAGATTGGTTGATGGTGTGAGATCGCCACCTGCGGAGAGAAAGAGAGTAGACAGAGTAGGCAGAGCGTTCCCATCGATAAAATGATCTCGACCAGAGCGGAAATCACGTGGGAAAAGCGGCCCTATTTTACAGGTTGCCTCCTTCTACCAGCTCTACTTCTACCTTCAATGGGCAACGATTTTTTCGCGTTTAGGTGCCATACCTTGAAACTTTACACGTTCAGATCGCAAAAGATGCTCATGTCCAATACGACCCACATGCGTTCGGGTCATCGCAGGGCATGGGTGTGCTAAACGATCGGCATTCGTACTTTCTTCTCGCTGATAACGGCACGAGTTCAAGGTGAGCTATGTTAATGTAGGCTAACGTTCTGAAACATGAGAGATATCATCTGTAAATTAGCCTTTCTGCGACACAGCAGGGCCACTTTAGTGCATGGTCAGCTGCACGCTCTTCCTATTAGATTTGGACTCCCCACACTCTCAAGTGGGCCTTGACAGCCTTCACCACATCGGCTCCGGTAGGGCATCCCCAACCTAGTCCCCATCCCTTGCTCCCACCCGCACCAACGTGGCTGTCTATAATATTTGATCCCGGAACCAGTCGACACGTTTCAACTACGTGGGCTTTTTCTCTTAAAAAGCGGCTGTCGAGCGCGGGGTGAGTGGGGAGCGGGGAGTAAATATATCTAATACTAATAAGCCAAATAAATAACTAGTAAAACTAAATTCCTCATAATCTCAGCCTTTCAAAGAAATCACGCCACACCAGAAAAGCCGTCATAAACGACCTCTCTCATCCCTTCTATTGCAACACGCCGGGTACCCACAGGAGGCCCGTCGCGCGGCAAGAAGGCAGGTCAGCGGACGAGTCGCAGCGCGTACTGTAGTGATTTCGCGTCAAGTTAAATAGAATGTACCACTTGTACGTCCTACATCGCACACACGCTGCGACTCGTCCGCTGACTCTGCCTTCTTGCCGCGCGACGGGCCTCCTGTCGGGTACCCCAACACGCCGCCCCAACCTCCAGCAACGATCCCGTCCGAAAACTTTGAATACGACCCATCGTGTCACCATACCAACAGACAAGAACCAAAGTACGATTCCGCCTATTTTCGATGTCCCAAACACGACCCTTATCCAGTGGAAATTCCCAGCGGACAGTTGAACCTGCGCCAGTGAAAGATGCAACGGCATAACCGTCGCAGTTAGGCCCATCGTGCGCTGTCTCATGTCTGGCTCCACTACAAACATGCTGCAACTTGTAGGAGAAGTACTTAAAATGAACACATCACTTCAGATACGGAGCTGATCTGCACCTTCGGCAAAATCTCGAAAATTACCTCGCGGGTCGAGCTGATGAAGACGGCTCAAGGAAAATGCCTGTAGTTTGTGCCGTTTTGGAAGGCGGCACCAATTCTCTGACAGCTATTCATCAGTATTTGACGCAGTGAGTTCCATGACCCTTCTCCTACATATTGCATTGCAGA